CAAAACAACTTCCTCTATAAATTTAACTCATTGCCTAAGGCTCCATGCAACAATGTGTTTCCTTCTTTGCGATATAGCTCATTGCCTAAGGCTCCATGCATGAATGTGTGAAATTTTCAATTTAACTCATTGCGCCAGGCTTCATGCAGCAACATGTTTCCTTCTTTTCAATATAGCTCATTGTCTAAGGCTCCATTCAGCAATGTGAAAAATTTGCAATTTAACTCATTGCGCCAGGCTATATGCAGCAATGTGTTTCCTTATTTGTGATATAGCTCATTTCTTAAGGCTCCATGCATCAATGTGCAAATTTTTCTATTTAAATCATTTCCTAAGGCTCCATGCAGAAATGTGTCTCCTTCTTTGCGATATAGCTCATTGCCTAAGGCTCCATGCAGCAATGTGCGAAATCCACAATTTAACTCATTGTGTCAGGCTTCATGCAGCAATATGTTTCCTTCTTTGCGATATAACTCATTGCCTAAGGCTCCATGCAACAATGTGTGAAATCTACAATTTAACTCATTGCCTAAGGCTCCATGCAGCAATGTGTTTCCTCTTCTACAGTCTAGCTCATTGCCTAAGGCTCCATGCAGCAATGTGCGAAATCCATAATTTAACTCATTGCGTCAGGCTTCATGCAAAAATGTGTTTCCTTCTTTATGATATAGCTCATTACCTAAGGCTCCATGCAGCAATGTGCGAAATTTTCAATTTTATTCATTGTGTCAGGCTTCATGCAGTAATGTGTTTCCTTCTTTGTAATATAGCTCATTGCCTAAGGCTCCATGCAGCAATGTGTGAAATATTCAATTTAAATCATTGCCTAAGGATCCATGCAGCAATGTGTTTCCTCTTCTGCGATCTAGCTCATTGCCTAAGGCTCCATGCAACAATGTACAAAATCCGCAATTAAACTCATTACATCAGTCTCCATGCATCAATGTTATTATCGAGCTTTTTCTATAATTTAACTCATTGCACCAGTCTCCATGCAGCAATGTTGTTATCAAACTTTTTTCTGCGACATAAACCTTTGCCTCAGTCTCCATACAACAATGTTTTTATCAAGCTTTTGTCCAATTATCTATCCCCTAGTTTGCGATAGATATGTGAATGAATTTGTGTAACCCATTGCACCTGTCTCCATGCAGAAATGTGTTATCATAATTTGTTTTCATCCATCCCCTAGGTTGCGATGAATAGATAAAATCAAATCAAATCATAAACTTACTATATTAGTATTCAAGCATTAGTAAGTCAACTTTGCAAAAACTTGTATTATTTTACCTACTAGTGTATGGTAAGTATTTAAAGTCTCTTCCAGATACTAACGAACTATCTGCATCGTCATATCTAAGTCAAAATAAAACTTTGGTTCAAACACTGGTAAGATGATACATCATCATTATTGTACCCCAAAATTTTCCCTCTCACTTATCAAGAATTTTCTCACAAGATTTCCTTGGGCTCAAGACTGCATTAGGGTTGATCAAGCTCAAGACACCTCCTTAAGCATTGATGACCAAAATTAGGGTTTGAGATTGCACAAGGATGTTTGAACTTTCAATTCCCCATATGACTTTCATGGATCATTATGGACCCCCAAGATCACTCATGTCAAGTTTCAAGCCTTGGATCACATTTTTGCTCAGTCAATTGAGCAGTTGACCTAAAAATCAGTTGTATTGGGGAAAAAGTCAAGTATGGCCAATTTACAGTCAAACTTCATAATTTTTTATCCACATCAACATTTTAAACTCATATGTATCATTTGATCAAGTTTGGACCATAATTCCTCAAGAAATTTGATCAAATCTCCAAAAGGGCAAAATGGTCAAAATTAGGGTTTTGACTAGGAAAGGGCAATTTCTGATTTTTGACCTAGCAAATGATCAATTGGTTTAAGGCATGGTATCAAGAGTCCAATTTCATCATTTTGATCTAATAACATGGCTCAAAACATTACTCAAGTTCAAAGGATTGACAGATGAATTTTCAGTCAACTAATCAAAAGTCAATTGTATACTGAAAAGTCAAACTTTGACTTTTTTGGTCAAAATCAAATGCCAAAGATCACAATTCATAAAAACATGTCAAAACATGAAACTTATTCATCAAGAAATCAAAAAGTCAAGATTTCATTTTGAAAAGTCAAAATTTCTAAACTTAGAAATTTTTCAAAGTGTTGGAAATTTCATGTTTTTTCACAACTTTGAACAAATTTTTCACCATGATGCAAGATGATTCAAGATAAACTTCCAACACGAAAGTTGTAGATCCCCATGAAATCTACAACTTTGCTTTACACAACTTCTTCCAAAAGTGTTTGTATCTCAAGTTATAATTTTAAGAACATGTGGTCATGAAATAAAACACTTAGTGAAATTTTGCCCTAATTTGGTCAGGATTTTGACACAACTTCATGGCACTTTTTCATATAGTTCCAAGGGGAATATTTAAAAGAAATTCAAAGCTGGATTGTATAGCACATTGCAAGCTTTCCAAAATGTCCAGGAACTCCTTGAGATCATTTTTGAGTAGGGAGAATCGAAGAGATGAAGTTAGGGTTTTGTCACTTGATTTACAAGGCATTTTGTGATGAACAAAATTCAAATTCAAAGTTATGCTGCATAAACTCTACTTTGCAGGCCTCAAACTTATTAGGCACTCCATAAATAATATCTTTCACAGCTGTTAGAGGTCTCATTTCAAGCATTCAATGCATGGACATGCTTTATATCCATTTTTGGAAGAAAGTGTACATTGCCATTTTGATAAAGTGCTTTTTTGCACAAAACTTGTTCTTGAGCCTTGCACTTGTTCTCTTCTGATCACACAAGTCCTATAACTCATCAGAAATGGTTTAGACACTTACAATCACCCAGCCTATGCTTGTACTACACATTGAAACTTGGTTTCCCTCTTTTCTTCAAAATCAAGTAACCTAGCTAAAAGCTTGTAACTGGTACTTATGATTGTCCAAACCACTCCAATCCTTTTGCTTATACATGGACAAACTATTTGCCACAAGACACGAATGCTCAAGCCCTGAAAAGACCTAGAACTCAGAAACACATCTCATACCTCCATTTTCACATAAACTGACCAAAAACTTGAAACTCATAACTCCCTCGTGCGTTTTCAAGCCTTTTGGTTCCTAAAGCTTCTTAACATCATATAGAACTGATCCCACACCCTGTTACAGAACTGTAACACCATTAACACCATCCTCCATTTTCAAAAACAGAGCTTTGCACTTGGACTTCTCCAGAACTCATCAGGCCCTTTTAGCTCAAGCTAAGCATTCCATTAGCTTCCTGGGAACTTGAGGAAGCTAACCCAACCATTGGAACTCCTTGAAAGTTGCTCAAACTTCAAACCCGATACCCTCTTACAAGGTAAGCTTTCTAACTTTGGAACTTCTCATACATGCATCATTAATGATTTATTTATGAACAAAACATGTAGATATCATTGCCCTAAAGCTAACCATGTCCATAGTTTCCATTAATTTTGCTTGAGCTTAGAGAATTTTAAGATTGAAATTTCTGAGATTTTTAGGGTTCAGTTTAGGGCCAGTGAAATTAATGCTTATATTTGATATATAGTTTTAATGCTTTACATTTCTGAAACCGTGAGGAAATTTGCTACAAGTTTCATGTTTACAGTTTTCATTTTTGTTGAGAAATGAACAATTTACAGTTGGTCTGGCTGGAGGTTGAAGATGAAGTGTAAATCATGGCGCGTTTTGTATTATATATTATATGTTTTGCTTATGTTAACGGATGTATAGCCACTTCAGTGGTAGAAGCGCGCGCCTGTAACCTTTGGGACCTGGGTTCGAGCCCCAGTGGTAACCTTTTGTCTTTTTTACATGTTTTGCATTTTTTGACTTTTTTTTGCAGGCGCTGAGCCTTGTTGGACTTTGTTGTTTTTTTTTGCTAGCTAACCCCCTTATTTCATTCACACGCCCCTGGCCCAATTTTATTTTATTTTCTTATTTTATTTTTATTTGATTTCTTAATTATTTTTATAATACTAAAAAATCATAAAAAATACAAAAATATTAGATTTTCATTTTGACATAGTTTATATATTTTTCCTCTTAAAAATTATTTTCATTTAATAAATACTTTATTCATTTCACTAAACATCTTATAAATTTAATTAAAATACAAGTTTTTTTATTTATTTTCTTTTACACCCATTTAAATATATTATTCTAATATAAAAAGGCCAAAAATATTTTATAATACTATAATTTATTTCCAAGACAAAAATACCAAAAATACTTTTCTTACAAACTTATTTTCTTTTAATCAATTAATAGGTTTAGGGTTTTATTTAAAAAAAATTCTTAATAAATTTAGGTTTAATTAATTATTTTCTTTTAATTAATTAGGTTAAAACAAATCCCTTTTCTCTAAAAAATCCAAATAAAAATATTCATTTTCTTTACATTTACATGCTTGCATATTTATCCATCTTGTACATTATTTATTTCAATTCTTGTACAAATTCAATTTGGTTGTAATAGATTAATTAGGTTTATATTTTGCAATCCTCATTTACAATTTGTACACCCGCCTCCCACAAATGTTGTAATAGCGTAGTAACTTTAAATTCCGCAATTTATCGCTTTATATACAAATGTTAGTAATTAGGGTTTGTATGGAAAGATTAAAACAAATACTTAGAAAACCCTAATTCAAGACAAAATCAAGCATGAAAACAATACACTTGGACACAAGCACCCCCTAGGATAATTCCACTTGGTTTCCTTTACAAAATTACCATATTGCGTATGTGAGGTATCTTAGCAAAAACAAGCAAATACAAGATCATAGTCCCTCGATGACGCTATCTAAGTTGCCTTTCAAATGATCTTAGTCCCTCAAATAAAATGCTAAGATACCTTGCAACATTGCTAATAATGGTTATACGATGACCCACGCCCGTCCTGTTTATATTCAAAGATAGGGTTACTTACCAAATCAATGGTAAGATAACAATGTCAAAAGGAAAGAAAATGAACAAAAAAGACTTTTGAGTAGGTAGAATGTTTCTAATTACTTGCTCAATTTCAAACAAACATCCTTGCTATTTTCAAAGCAAACACCTACACTTTTAAACATCTTTCAAGCTTGAAAATATTTTCAAAAGATCAAACACTTTGTATACATTCTTACAAACGAGAATCATTACAAAGTTTGCCTAAACAATGGCCTCTTTACAAAATACTTTCAAAAACCACACAAAGCACAATTTCAAACAAAAGCAAGTGATCTAGCAAGTAACTAAGAGCCCATGGAAAACCATGGATGAAAAGAATGCTAATACCTTCCCTTTTCATAATCTACCCCCCGAACTCAAGAAATAATCTCAAAGGTATTTCTTGTGCTTTTTCACCTTTCCTTTTGGATAAAAGAAAAGGCGGTGGCGACTCTTTCTAACCGCAACATTTGTGATCAAACGCAAAACCCTCAAGTCAGTTCTCCCACCGTATCACAATCATTTATGCCTATTCTTCACATTCATGGGAACGTTGTACAACGTGTCCTTATAATCTTTCAGATAAATTTTGGGGTCTCACAATATTTAATAACCCTCTGATTCGAACATGTGAGACCTGCGCATTCTCGCACCATTCAATCGAAGAGTGATTAAATAGTGGCGGTTGTCCTACCCCAAATTTGTCCGCCCTTTATTTCTATGTTCAAAAAATATTTTTAAACATTGCTTTTGTAAATATTCCTTGATTTTTAAAAATATTCGTTTTCAAACCTATTTTAAAATATAATGATTTATTTCAGATTATTTGTATTTTTGAATAAATAAATATTTGCTTAACCTTTCATACACTTTCAATTAGGTTTATTTGCAAATAAATAACATAGCACAATTGGTAAGGAAGCATAAGGTCACGAGTTCGAATCTCACTTGGTGCATTTTTTATATTTCTTGACTTATTTTTACTAATTTTATTTCCATTTATAAAAATCATAAAAAATCATTTTTTTTATTATTTAAATATTATTTTCGAATTTTTAATTATGACATTTAAAAAAAAATTATTTATTTGATTTTATGCATTTTTTATCAAAACTAAATGCAAAAGTCATAATAAATACCAAAAATATTTTCTTTTCCAGATAATTGTTTCTTATTGGTTAATTTGCGTCAATTTGTGTCATACTCAGCTTCTGATTGATCAACTTATTGATCAAGAAAGATCTGATTTATTTTATTCCCTTTTCGCCCTTTAACATGATTTTGACCGTCTATAAATAGGGCTCTATTTTCATAGTTTTAGTCTGGAACCCTTTTGTTGTCTACTCAGACAATAACCAACAAACAGCCAATGATTTCATATGAGGCTACCCACCCTGTTTTTTCAATTTTATCATTTTCTTATTTTTAATTTGCCTTTTTAAACCACATGATGCTTGTTCTGATAGGTATATGTGAAAAAACATATTTTCTGTAGAAATTTATGCAACAATTTTAAACCAATTTCTCACTTGTATATTTTCTCACAGGTCACTTTGCACTTACCGTATACAATTTTTTCCTCACACCAGAAGACATGTACATATTTATGTAATTTTTTAGTAATTTGTTTTTCTAATTGTTACCAAGTCTTTTTTCTACGTTTCACTAACATCTTACTGAATTTTGATTTCAAAACATCTTCTTGTTTATTTCTGTTTCAAACTATCACCTCTAACACAACAGGTAAATAGAGTAATCACCCTTGTCTTTTTTTTAAACCAAAACAATTGCATAAAATTCCCAGCACTACAAATATAACTCACAAGGCTAATAACAACATTACCATGAACCATACACTTCACAAACATTAAACCTGCAGAAGAAAAGAGGACGATTCTCATTCAATCAGAATTTTATTTTTGTTCTCCTTTTTAGAATAATGTTTGAAAGAGGAGTAAAGAAGAATCAGTAACAGCTACACCGGCCGGCGACATCCGCCACGCCGGAATCGCGGGAGCACTACGACCATCCCAACAATGCTCCCTCACTGTCAAACTCCACACCCGATGCAACTCCTCGGGTCACCGCAACCCCTTGTTATTCGATCACGCCAACCACTGGGAGATTCCGGCATCAAATCTGCGACCAACCGTGCCTTTGTCTCCACCGCAACACAACATCGACAAGGCCCTCCGCTCTGATCCGCGCCCAACCATGATTCGCTCTAAACCTCTGCGGAATCACGATTCCGCCCTCCCCCGCTACCACTTCTTCAACCGCACAACAGAACCTCTGCGTCGAAGCCATTCAACACCACGCCTCCGCAACAACTCCGACGGACACCGGTCGCTGTCGATGTACGAGGGTCGCTACCGGACGTCTGGAAAATTTTAAGTAAAAAGAAGAAGGTACAGAGAGAGGAGGAAGAAAAAGCATGGGATGGGTACTCTTGTTCTCTGCTTCACGATGAAAAGAGAGAAGAGAAAATTTACTACTTCTGTTCATTTGTCTTTATCTCTCTTAACTTGGTACTACTATATTGTTAATATATTTTAATTTATTTATTTTACTTAAAAGCCACGTGTCAAATATCCACTGGTGGTCTATTTTCAACTTTGAAATTTCAAAGTGGTTCCAAACTTTCTGAAACGTGATGCTTCTGATAACAGTGGAGAGCGGCGCCCTTTTTCCCAGGTTTGTTCATTATTATTTTTTTATTATTAACAATAATCATATTTAGAACTAAGGTTATAAGTATTATTTGGGCCTTGGGCCATAGTTTCTAAACTTTTATTAATATACCACCATCCACTTCTCACACCCCCTATTTTGCTATATAAACTGAATTCATATTCCTTACACTTTTGAGCCTGAATTCTATATCTGAATTCAGGCCCATGCTTTTAGCACCCCCTGATTTTACTATCTTAACTCAATTTACACTTCATGAGTTTTTCTTTATAAATTTCCTCTATTATTTTATTTTTATATTTCTATATTTACTATTTTTATAATTTTAATATTATTTCATTACTATTATCATAAAATCACATATTTCTAAAAATGCATCCAAATATCTTTATTTTTTTATTTACATTAAATTATTTTTAATTATGCATTAATTAGATATTTTTGTAATTAATACATTAAAATATATTCAATCAACCACAAATCATCTTTGTGATTAAATTAATTCAACAAATAATTTTTGAAAAGGAGTACAAAGTATATTATAATTAACCGCGCACTCTGTCCAAAATCTCCATTATTCACAAACTCGGACTTAGTACAAGGGGAATTAAAATATCTGCATAATCCATAAATAACACAAACCAACTGCAAACTACGAATTGAGACTCTGATTCCTCATAAGAGGATATGTAGGTATACGACTAAAATTGTGGCAAGTTCCCCTAATAAAAAATTAAAACCTTATTTCCTAAAAAGCGCGCTTCTAAACTAGTATCCTTGTGAACAAGGTGGATAAGGGGTGCCTAATACTTTCCCTTCATCTAGAACTGGGTCCAAACCTAGAATCTCAAAGTTTTAGGGTTATTCCTTTAAACTCTCTTCCTTAGGATAAAAATTAAGGGTGCTGACTCTGTATTTAAAACTAGTTGTAACACTTGTATTAACAAGTCATTGACATAGAGACATATTATAAGAAATTCACTATTGCTTCTTCTTACATATACTGCATGCTCACTTGTGCACTTCACAAATTTCTTCTCCCTTATAAAGCTATTAATTTTCTTATTTCAAGCTCTTGGAGCTTGTTTCAATCCATACAGGGCTTTATGCAACATATACACCTTTCTCTCTTTGCCATGCTTCAGAAATGAAACTAGTTGTGCAACATAAACTTCTTCGTCTAAGGGTTCATTTAGGAATGCACATTTCACATTCATCTGACATATGTTCCAACTGTTCATTTCTGCTAGGCCAACAACCTGATTATTTCAATTCTAGCCACAGGTGCAAATACTTCATCAAAGTTAATTCCTTCCTTCTAAAGAAATCCTTTCACCACAAGTCTTGCCTTGTGTCGAGTTGCTTCCCCTCTGGGATTCAACTTCACCTTGTATACCCACTTCACATCGATTTCCTTTTTTCCTTGAGGAAATTCGACAAGTGACCATGTGTTGTTGTATTTCATGGACTTCACATCTTCATTCATTGCTTTCACCCACTTCGAATCCTTCAATGCTTCAGCTGCATTGACAGGTTCGACATTTGCATAAAAAGCATAATATACCAATTCACCTTCATCATCGACCATATCATCTGATGTAATCACACAATCTTGCAACCTTACAAGCATTTGTCTTGTCCTCTGAGGTCTTCATGTACTTGGTTAATCTCTAACTTCCTCTTGTTAAACTTCTCTTTCGACATGAGTTTCTTGTTCTTCAAGTAAGATTCTCACTGAATATTTCTTAACATTTTCAGTCCAATCCCATTCTTTAAGCTCATTTATAATCACGTCCATGCTGATAACAATCTACTTGCTCACTGGGTCAAACAAGTTTTCTTCTCAACTAATCTGGCACATGTCTATGTGCTATAGATCCAAACACTTTAAGATGACTCAAGCTAGATTTAACACCAGATCAAGATTCTTCTAGCGTAACTCCTTCTAGCTTCTTCATCGAACATCTATTTAAAATATATGTTGCACTCGACACAACTTCACCCAAAAACTCCTTAGGTAAATGCTTGCCTTTCAACGTACTTCTCACCATATTCATGATGGTTTGATTCTTCCTTTCTACATTTCCATTTTCCTGTGGAGTGTAGGGTGGCACCACCTCATACAAAATCCCTTCTTTTTCACATAATTTGTTGAAGTCTTTCGACACATACTCCCCACCACCATCGGTTCTCAAAACTTTAAGCTTTCGACCACTTTGCCTTTCGACCATAGACTTAAACTTGTCAAATACCTCGATCAATTCTCTTTCCTTCTTGATAAGGTAAGTCCATAGTTTTAAACTGAAATCATCTATAAATGTAACAAATTATTTGTTAACTCCCATCAAATCCATCTGGATTGGTCCACATACATCAAATTCTGAAGTTGTTCTTTTGTTACTTCTCCTGCACAAATTCCTCACACGCCTCGTTTGGAATGTCGATTTCTGGTAATCCTGAAACCATATTTCTTCTCTTCAAATCCCGGATGCCTCTGAAGTTAAGATGGTCGAGTCGATAGTGTCATATCCACTTATCTCTGCTAGTTGCAAATGCTAGACATTTGTGCTCCATCATATTTAGTTTGATCTTGAAGGTCTTATTCTGAGACATAGGAGCCTTCAATATTAACCTTCCTCTTGTGTCGATGACTCTCATTATCTTGTCTTTGATCAACACTTTATAATTTTTTCCGACCAACTGCCCCATGCTGAGCAAGTTGCTCTTCATGCCTGGTATGTACAACACATTGAAAAGTACTGACCTTTTGCCATCTTTCCTCATAATCTGAACATATCCAATATCTTCAACTGCTAGAGTATTGTCATTTGAAAATTTTACCATGTTCTTCATTGAGAGTTCTAGGTTGACAAACTAATCTTTTTTCATACATGTGTGATGAGCATCCTGAATCCAAGTATCATTGGTCCTTGAATTTCTCTTCATCTTTTATTGTGACCATCATCATCATCTTTCCTTCTTCATATTTTTCAAACTTTGCTTCACTTTCTTGATTCTTTCGCTTATCTCGACAATCACTAGAATAGTGACCATACTTCTGACAATTCTAATGCTGAATGTTACTCTTGTCAGGTTTTCGACCACCATTTCTTCCTTTACCTCCAGCACTACCTCTTTGGCTGCCTTAGTATGATAGTCTTCTCTGATTCGACACAATTCCTTCATGTTGGTTTCCTCTACCAGTCGAATTGTTATAGCCACCTCTACCTTTTTCGAACCCCTATCCTTTGCATTTACTTTCTCTTGCTAACTGCATCTACAAAGCCACATCACTCTTCAATTTTCCTGCAACTCTTTCAATAATTCTTTGTTCATGAGATTCCAGCGTCCCTTAAAGCTCTTACTTTGACAAAGTTCACATGTTCTTCGAATCTTCTATGATAACTACCACATGGTCGAGCTTCAGAGCTAAAGATCTCAAGATCTTTGAAACAACATTTGTTGTTGTTACGTCCCTCCACAAACCTTGATTTGATTCACTAGTTTCGTAACCCTAGTGAAGAAATTAGATACGCTCTCACTATCTTCCATCTGAAGCAATTCATATATTTTTTATGAGTTTGTAACCTCACCTCTTTCACCTAATCTGTACCTCCAAAATATTTCTCAAGAATCTCTCTGACTTCTTTTGCAGATTCTACATCACTAACCTTTTCAAAATTTTATGGACTAACACGTTGGTGAATTATAAAGAGAGCTTTATAATTCTTCTTCTCCAAATTCTTTGTGTTCAATATCTTCATCATATTAAGGATCTTCATCAAGCGGTTCTAACCCATCTTTACAAGATACCAAAGACCTTGATAACTGATCGCGACTTTAAGAGTCTACCAGATGTATTAACTACAAGTTCACATTTTAATCTTGTAGTTTTAAAAGATATCGAACCCACAAGGACTGGTAATCGAATTACTACTATCTAAAGCTACTATGTAAAGCTAAGGCTAATAATAAATCTTAGGTTTTATGGTTAGACGAAAGTAAGCTTAGACTTAATTGAAACATTTAATAACGGGACATCGATATGTAATACGTATGACTTCGGGAATTCAATAAACCATTGGCATAACTTTGAGTATTCAAAACACTGTTCAGTAGAAAATATCAGTTTAAAAACCTTTATCTCACACTCTCTTGATTATTGATTCAGATTATATAATTAAACTTAAATGCTTTATCTCGTTGTTTCATTTAAAATCCAAAGATAATTTTTGAAAACAAATAGAGTCTAATTAATCATAAACGTCTCTTGTTGTATTTAAATTAATGTTTGATTACCACTATCCAGTTGAAAACTCACACTCCCGTGATTATTGATTTTAGCCTTTGTTTGTCTCTTACTCTCGTAACGAAACAATTAGTATTAAAATTGGAAACCAAACCAGAAAAGTAATTTTATAAAATGTTTATGCAAATTTATTACTGAACCCCTTCGGTTTATGACCTTGCATATCAGTATCAGGGAAATTATCCAGACATATTATTAATTATGAACATAAAATAATAGCAAACATATAATAATTCAGGCATGATTGCTAAATAAAGAACAATAATATAATTGCATTAAAAACCTGGAATTAAATAATGAAAACAATAGAATTTCTGCAACACTTCAAATACTGATAGCAATCCTCCATAATATGTCGGCAGGGTTTGCTTACTGAAAAATAAATTAAATGTAG